AACTTATATAATATTCTTTTTAATAAATTTTTAATAATTTTTATATTTTTTTTAATAAACTTTTTTTATAAACTTTTTAATTTTTCTTAATAAACATTTTAATTTTTTTTAATAAGCTTTTTAATTTTTTTATTATACAAAATAATTATTACTGATTTTATTAATAACTCAATATTTGTATTTAAGTGATATATTAAACATATTTTTAATGAAAAGAAAACAATATATAATAAACTTATTTAATATTCTTTTTAATAAAATTTTTTATAATTTTTATAGGAATATGTTTTTTTTTCACCTGCAATATGTCGCATCTTCCTTTTTTTTGGTAATTTTTATATATTAACTAGGGAAGAATCAGGAGTCAAGTTGGCACACTCTTCGATTAATTAAAAATTTTCAATGAATGGGTTATTTATAGTTGTGGAGTTTTGTTTGTAAAAAGGTGTTTATTTTATGTATTTTTAATTAAATAAAAGTTAAAATTATTTTTTTATTTATTGAGTTAAAGTGAAATTACATTTATTATCGAATCTTAATTTATATGCATGTATATATTTTTTTTTTAAAAAAAAAAATTATTATTTATTGTTAATATTTATTTTGATAATATTTGAAGATTAGTTAATTGATTAAATAAGAATAAAAAGATCATTTTTACAGAATTTCAGCATCATATAATAATTTTTTTTCTTTTTTGATTAGTAAATGATTATTAGATAATTGGGTAAAAGTTTACTAAGATGCATATTATTTTTAATTAATCAATATAGACGTTTTTTCTATTTAATAATTGAATATAATTTATAAAAAATTCAAATTATAATTATGATATTATATTTTTATTATTTTATTTTATTATTAAAAAGATCATCTTTAACGTCATAATTATGCCGTTCTCAAAAAAATAATTATGTCGATCACGTAACACAAAAAAAATTCTCATATACGAAAAAAAATTTCATTTCTTATCACTTAAGTTCTAAATTTTTTTATAGTACTACTATTTTTTTTTTAAATATTTCAATAAATATACATGTATACTATGTGTTAGCAAAGTTTAGTCAAAAATAAACCAGTATTTTCACTCTTTAACTTCAAGATCTCACTTAGATCATAATGAATAAAAAAGATACTATGCTAGAATTACACCATAACTACACTAATCAAAATATTCTCAGGCCTTCTGGAAAGCGGTAAAATGGTATTTTAAGGTACTACTTTACATATTTATATGAAACTACTCAATTTATATAAATTTTTTTTATTAAGTTTGTTAACTCATTAATAATTAAATTTTTATATTTATAGTGTTAGAAATAGAAAGAAAAGGAGAAAGTGAGTTTAATAAGTTGTTATAAATGTTTGTTTATTTATTTTTATGTCGTATTATGGGATTTTGTTTTATAAAATTTGTCTAATTAATAATCTTTTTTATCTTAGACGCTATTTAAGCAAAATTTAGTATAAGAAACTATACTTGGGGTAAACAAATCTAATTGAAATTTAACTTAAAACAATATATTTTGATTTTTTATCAACTTAGATTACTTACCATGTACAAAACTTATTCTAAAATTTTTATAAAAACAAATAAAAACGAACGTAAATTAAATATTTTTGTGATCACATGATTGATGATCAATTGTGGTCCAACTTTTTAAAAATGGTAATATGCGTAAAAAAACTTTAGATTTTGTGATCTCGTATTGCATGATACACATTACACATTTTTTTGTGTGTTTTTTGATATATTCTTTTGTGTGTTTTATTTAAAATAAATGAAAATTAATTTATTTAATTAATAATTAAAAAAAAAATGAAAATATATTTTATGGTAAAAAATTTTTAAATCAAGAGAGAGGTCTCTTATTTATTGGTTTTTTTAAAAAGATATTTGTATAAGCATTATTTATTAAAAATGAAATCACTATTTTTTATAATAAATAATTTATCATTATTTATCATACAACAAAAAAGTTCT